TGACAAGCAGCTGTGGTTTGGCCTCAGACCGCCTCTCATCGACCAGCAAATAGCCGATGATCGATCCAAGTCGCGACTGACGGCGCGTCGCCTCCACGCTGGTGTTTGTCGGCCCCCCTCCCGATATCAGCCAGTCTTGGCTCGCGAGGTCATCGCAAGTCATGTTAAACTCACAGCCGACAATCCATGACCTCCAACTCGATCTTATCAAATTCACGCGGTTGGCCAAGGCGCGGGGGGTCTCCGCGTTCCTGGCCGAGAAGCCTTCACTCACATGCATGTATACGGAGTATATGATCCAGCCTTTTGGGGGCTCCCCAATGCACCTGTGCCGCCGAACGCCTTTGCGGGATGGGTGTTTTCCGCCTTGGAGCTGGGCGCAGCCGTGATCGTCGCCTTCTCGGGCGCCGGCGCCGCCACCCCGGCCGATGCGCTGTCGGCAGCCGTGGCCTGGGTCTCTGACCAGAGCCCATGCTGGCCCAAGTGCTGCAAACTGTTCTGAAAGTCTGCCAGCTTGCCAGCCATCAGCCTGCGCTCTTGCACGCGAAGCATCATCGCCTGGCTGTGCGGAAGGAAAACCTTCAACTGCTGGGCAGACGTGCAATTGAGAGTCTGGATAGTAGCTTCCGTCACTGATGCAAAACAGCACCAACACCACAACGACATCCTCTCACGCAGTGCGAGCCCGCTTCGGCAGGCCCTGGATGTCCTCGCTAAGCCTCTTGACCGTCGTGTCCCGCAAGTCACCCTCGTCCTCATGAACGGCCTGCTGAAACGATTCCGAAAACTTCCGCCACGTATCAGCATCTCCGGCCCCATTCGGCAGCACGTGCATGCACTGCATAGGGGTACATCGGAGGAGTCGCGGCAGGACCAGGGCCGTCATCATCACCAGGAGCGTGCAGCACGGGCTCTGGCTGCAGGGCATCCGCTCCGACCTTCGTCTCAGCCTCCATGATGGCGGACATGGCAGACTTGAGGTGAGCTGACAACGTAGCGGCCTGCTGCTCCCTGGGTCCTCTCGCCCTGCAGAGCTGTCCCAGTTCTCAGACCGAAACTCCGAAGTTCTCGATGGTTGAAGAGAGCGCCCTTTCGGGCGGGAGCTTGGGCTGGACGTCCAGCACCTTCTTGAGCTCCACCCCTTTCGCCACGATCTGCCTGAGCACCTCGGTGTGTGCTCGCTCAGCCTCCGCCAGCAGGTTCCTCGCTTCCTCGAAGGCCGCCTTCGCCGCCTTCGCTGACTTCTCGACCATGCCCCGCTTGATGGTCAGCTGCTCCTTCTGATTGACAACATCATGGGCCCTCCACTCG